GCCCGCTGAAATAGCGGGATGATCAACCAGAGGGTTAACTAATTCATTAATTATACTTTTGTGATTGATTTTTCTTTCATTAGAAAATTTGCGATTACTATTAAAAGGAATTCGGTTAATTGAGCTCGAATTCAAATATTCCTACTTTCACTATTCTTAAGTTTAATTTACTCTATAAAGGGCCGTTCACACTGGGGTTTATCTGAACTAACGGAGACATCTGGCATAGCCGACCAACTCCAAAACCAGTTTTTCTTCAGAGCGAAGAGAATTCAAAAATATTAACTTCACGTATACCGGAGCTAATCCACACATGTAACTGATTTCGTTAGCTCAGATACACCCCAGTATGAATGGGCCTTAAGAGTTCACAAATATTTTTAGTTGATTATTTTCATGTGCTAAAATTTCATAATTTTTCATTAACTGCACTGACTTTTCTTTTTATAAAATCCCAATTATAGAACTCAAATTGTTTCTAATATTATCCTTTTAAGTAAAAGCTCTGTCATTATCAAATGAAATGAATACCTTTCAACTTCTCGTATTTCACATACAAGGTATGTAATCCGATAAATTATTCACTTGCTAATCAGATATCTAACTACAGTTAAAGACTAATTCAGAAGTCAAACAACAAAAATCAGCGTTATATTTACAAAATTTTCACAGGACTAGTTTCGATGGTTTTACCGAACCACCATCCTCAGCTGCAAAACCGCAAATGATCCGCTGATTTTTGTTGTTTGACTTCTGAATTAGTATTTATTCGGCGTGTTATTGTGTCTTAATTACAGTAAAAGAATTGAACATCATTTCATATTTCGGGCAAACAAAATTATTACGATTTCACCACAAAACTGAAAAATGTAATAAAATCGCGATAACATATTTATATGGAATTCTACGATAAAGTTGGAAATTGCAATATATTTAATAGCTATCACCATATTCATCATAGTTTTCTGTCGTTATTTTTTCGTCGTGCATATTCTAATATCTCCTTACGAGATAACCTTTCATTATTAAAATCCATGTTTAATTTACTCCATTAATCCATTCCTCTACTTAAATAAATAATAAAAAGAGTCATAAAGATGGATGTGTTGCTGTAATCTCGAGTAATTAAAAGCCACCCCCAAACAGAATTTCAACGCAGAGTCTTATTTTGAACACATCAGAATTTCAATTAACAGAACCCAGGAGGCATACTTTTCCCCCTTAATTGCTTTTTTTACTTTACATTCAAGCTGGGTGTTCTTTAAGCCCCTTTTATCTAACAACGAAGTGACAAGTCTCTCTTATACTCGTTGTTATGATAATCCTCCAAGTTTTTTCCCCTTTGTTTATCATATTCTCTGAAACTATTCCGTAATGAATTAGTCCCAAATGTAACTTAAATTCGGTATCTTCAATACCCTGGACAATGTTACAATTTCTTAAATTGCTTTCATATGTAAAAGTAATTGGGCTTTTTCCCAATGAAATTTTAGATACCCCCAAAATGCAAATGTCTTCTCAAACATTGAAATGAATTCACAGAATCCTTATAACACGGTGTTTCTCAATTATTTTTTTTACCTCAAGCACCCCTTTCACCGTTGCTAGAGGATCATGCTCGACTCATTTCCAAAACTCAAAAAATACATATACGTTTGTTTAAATTTAGATTATTTTTAATGTGGTTCACAAATTAAACAAGGAAATGGTATAGATAATGTTGATAATTGCCAAACCTTGAATAAAAGTAAATTTTATGTTCATAAAATTAAATACCTAATAGGTAAAAAAAATCTGATGTGTACACCACATGACTTCCTTCTACGGAAAATTAAATTATACGCATTTTTTCTTGCATTTCATTTAAATTTATTAGATTGAATTAAACCTACTTCGCCGACAGCGCATAAACCACAATAGAATAAATGCATTCTTTAAAATTCACTTTGTTTACCATAGCCACACTCTGGCGCTAGGTTTATTAAGAGTAGATTATAACTCAGAATGCACAAAATGTATATCATTTAAAGAATTATCTACTCGTTGCCACATGTTCTATTAAAATACTATAACAAAGCTAGAATGATGTATAAAAGAAATTAAGCAAACAAAACAAAAAAGAAACAGTTTTTCACAGACGATTGAGTATTTCTCATTCAGTTAATTCAGTTTTCACTTCGCTACAAGACAAAAATAGATAAACTCAAAATACTGTATTAAAAATTACGAAGTAAATCTTAAACACTTATTTCCTCGAAAAAATTCCAGAAAGGATTAAGCATGATTTAATTCGAAATAATAAATGAAGGCGTTATTTTTGCGTTGCGAAGCTTAGTCTCTCTAGATTGGCAACCAATCTACAATTTTGCTGTTTCAAATGAAAACAAATATATCCGCCATGTTATTTAAAACTAACCGCACTTAAACAGCTTTTAAATTGTTGATAATTGTACAAATATTGCTTCCAGAATTACAAAAGGCATAAAAACTTTAACCGGAAGATAAAAACATCATAATTCAATCATTTTAAAGCAAAAAATGTACAATTTACAAACATATAAGAGTAAAGAAACTGAGATCACTGAGCCGGGTAACAGAGTGGATATATAATAAATATATTTATATACGTTCGGTGCGGCCGATTGCAACCAAAATACGAGGTGCACATCTACATGTTATATCAGTGCTATATACAAAATTTCAACGTTCTGAGGCTACTCGTTTTTGAGTTATGCGAGACACGTACGTACGTACATACGTTCGTACAGACGCCACGAAAAATTCTCTTCAGAATTCATTTTAAAGCAGTTTTATAATTTTTTGGAGGAAAAGAGTGTTTTATTCTGGCCTTACATACAGATATCACGGAAATACATCGTTAAATTGGATTTGAAAGAGGTAAAAATGGGATAGTTTCGTTGAAATATGCTGCCTGAAACTTTTCGCGATAACAATACTTCTGGCTGACAGAATAAAATTCAAAGGCATGTAAACGATCTATATAATATGCTATTTCCATTACATGTCGAGCCTAGCTGAGAAAACCTGCCGTAACATGATCAAAACGTATATTTTTGTCTAGTATAACAAGTAATAAAATAACAAGTAACATTTAGCGTCAAGCAAGCACATCTGGTAGAAGTAATACACGCCAATTTAAATGGTGCAGTGACAAATTTAAGTCATGCTCTATCTTTAAACTGCATTGTTTTGAAAATTCCAGTTTCTTGATTCTCATCATAATAATTCGCATTTCATATTATTCGTGCTAACATACCTTTTAGGCCCGGTGCACGCGAAGTCAGGGGCAGGACAAGAGAGATGCAAGCCTTTCGGATTTCGCTAGAGCTACGCGGATAACCTTATAAGCTATTAATCCTGCCTTCTTAGCACGTCTTAGTGGTGCAATGATCAGCAATCTCGACGCGTATTGGCGAGGATATTTCTCATTTTTTTATCTCTCTTGCTTCGAAATAACCTACTGGCTATACAACCTTTATATGTTTTAGTATGACTAAAGTCCTTCCACTCTCTTTGGACGTTGTCTTGATATGCAGCAAGCGAATGCCTACTAATTTTATACCACAATGCGAACTGTCATAAGAACTGTTTCCGAAGACAGTGTAAAAGCTTGACTACTTTGAAATAAGACAATTTGGAACTCCTTCTACGTCTCATATTATCTAAATGCTCCTATAACCCTTTACAAACATTACAAAATATTTGCTGTTGATATTTGGCATTATTTCCCTGGAACTTATTACTTCCATCTAAGAAGTGAAATGCAATGTAAACGATCTATATGTCATAATAAAAGCACAAGTAAAAGACGTAACACTGTAGATGCGTGATTAGACCCATATTGAAGAAGATTTTGATTGCGTAGTATGCTAGTAATGCTAACTTGGTATTATCTAAAGAACTTGGCAGTCGAGGCAGTAAGATGTAAAATATTAAAAAAATACGATGGCTTTGCTCTTTGCGAACCAGCATCCTTTAATTAATTTTCTGCAATTCGGATTCCCAGTTTCTAGAACATTCGCGCCTATTACATAACCTCCTCATAAAATGCTGCGTCATAAGTTTTTCTACATTTTCTAGAAGCTACTCTGTTACATAACCTTTCATACAAATGCTACGTCATAAGTTCTCCTACACAGATGCCGTGGATGGTCTAGGAAATAGTAATTACCAATTTGTTTCTCCAAGGCAAACTGTTCCGAGGTGCTATTATCCCAGACCAGTGCAAGCCACTCCTTATCAAAGTTTTCGTAGTGTGAGACCTTTTAATTATCAACAAGTGCAATACCGACCTCTACAGTATGCGTATCGGCCAATTCGATATCCACAATTACCTGCTATTAATTATAACCTCTAAAGAAAGTTTTTCAATCGTTCGTCTAATATTAGTATAAGTGCTCCAAATGATTCAATACCAAGGAAGTTTCATTTTATAAGGGAGAATAATGTTTAGTTTAAACTTCAATTTTGATTCATATATTTTTATCTGACATATATAATATGCTATTTCCATTACATGTCGATATAAAAGTAGAGGTCGAAATCTACCAGATAATTCCTCCTTTTACCATATATGTAGATAATGCGCAACATAATGCATCGTGCGCGCTTTACTTTACTATTGTGGTCTAGTGGCCGAAACCGCTACGCAAATCCTAGGTTGTGACACAGGGTTGAAATGAACTTCTAACTCAAGTTTTAGCAATAACACGGATTTTAATAAGATGAAAAGCTTAACAGTTGTATATTTTGACAGTATGGGACTTAAATATAGTATTTAGTCGCGTAATTTCAGAATTTTGTTAGAGGAAAAATGCACTAACGCATTATACACGAGGAATGATCATTCTTAGCAGGCCAACATGCCCGTAGCTCTAAACAGGAAAAATGCTCTAACGCATTATATACGAGGAATGATCATTTTTAGCAGGCCACCATGACCATAGCTCTAAACAGGAAAAATTTGTTCTCTCTTCCAGTCCAGTCTATACCGATATTGCCGGACTATCGTTGAAGACTCGCGTTGTTTCCGGCTCCTGACACATATGCCCGAAGGGCGCCTGACATGGAAGAGAGAAAAGAGAGGTCTAAGATGGTAAGAGAAGGGGGTGACCACTTGTCAGAAGGCAGAAAAACCAAATCCAAGCTAAAGCTGCAGACCAGGAGAGGCAAGTGTCGGTGTGAAGCACTTCATGACTTCTTGTGAGGTAAGCAAATAGAACATAATAAGATACGAATACAAAATACATAGTATTAAATACATAATACAGAGAAAATATGATAAAAAGCATATGCACACTATATAAAATCTGCGTCAACTACTTAGGGAAGTTGGAATCACAAATGTGGGCTGCAAATGGCCTGATATTTCGATCTTCTGTGAGTATGATGTAATCGAAAACTTTGAAATTATTCATGTGCGAGCAATTTAAAGCCTTATTAAAGTAATTTGTTCTTCTCAGAAAACCATCTTATATAACGGGTGGCCATAATTAAACTGACAGTGCTCACAGTGTTCTGTATGTAGCGCGATCTATTTGCGAGAATGACGCCACATTCTGTAGGAAGATTAAACAAGACGGGGGACGAAGGATTCCGCGAAAAAACAAATTAGTTCCAAAAGTCACCGCTAGGGGAATATTTGGCGCTGTGTCATAGAAAACAGATTGTTAACAAATGCAAATAAATACGGCAATTACCTTTTATTTTGCATTCAAATGAGGTTCAATGTGGCTGCCGTTGTTGTGGACCACATGGTCTGTACACAGTATGCACAACAGCAGAAAGTAACATGGCTGCAGGAATCTCTCGTACAGTCCGTGATATGTTATCCTTCAACGTAGCCAGGTCCTGGACCACTCCTTGATAGACCTTGGACTTAAGGTAACCCCATAGCCAGAAGTCGCTTGGGGTAAGATCAGGCGACCCAGGTGGCCATGCAGTTGGAAAGTGACTCTTTCTGGCGGTTAATGACTCTTTCTGTTGTGAATTTCTGTTGTAGCATCTGTTGCACCCATACAGCAACGTGTGAAGGGACTCCATCTTGCATGAAAATGATTTTCCCCAGGCATTGTCTTTTATCGCTTTTTAAAATCTCTTTTTTAAAAGTGTTGCCATATTGCACTTGAACTAAATCAGAAAATGTGCATAATAAAAGGTAATTTTATTCCGTATTAATTTGCATTTGTTAACACTCTATTTTCTATTACACAGCGCCAAATTTTCCTCTAGCGGTGACTTTTGGAACTAATTTGTTTTTTCGCGGAAATCTTCGCCCCCGGTCTTGTTTAATCTTCCTACAAAATGTGACGTCATTCTCGCAAATAGATCGCGCTACAGAACACTGTCAGTTTAATTATGGCTACCCGGTATTTCTGTGTGTTTACTTGCACTGAACTCCCAGGGGGAATGTTTCTTTTACTCATGCAACAAAGTGTCCATCTCCTGACCCTGATGAAAAGACTTCTTTTACCTCTTTGTCCCCTGGAGTGACCTTCCAGGCTGCAACCGGAATCATTAACAGATTGGCACGTGATTTCACCCCGGATATGAAACTATTGCACTCTGAAATCACTCATCCTAGACAAAGAACTTTTATGCCGCCTTATCACACTATCAGTACTTATGACCATCTGTTTAAAAACAGGAATTACACCTCATCAAATTAATTCCTTTTTTTTCTGGATGTATTGCTTTTCGGTCTTAATAGTCGTCTCCAGCCGATGACCTAAACTTTGCTCTGTGATCTTTGATGAGCAATAGGTATTGGGTAAAACGCTTGGTATAGGGTGCTGTTGTGAATTCAGGTCGCATTGTGATATGGAAGACTGATGGCTTGAACTGAAGTTGCAGGAAAAATGGGTTGTACTGCGATTTCATTTCTCGCAGAATGACGCTTCGCTTATTCTATAAGATTAGTCTTACTTTGCTACACTACACTTTGTTATAGACTTTGAGTACCCCCTGTATGTTTCTTTCATTTACTGAAAGCCATGCGTTTGATTCAATAAAAGCTCACAAGGTTAATGTTGTTAAGGAACCTTGTGCAGTTGGTAGTCATAATTATACCAATTTGATGGGAGGGTAAATCCTCACAAATTCCCATTAGTAACGCTTCGTTTTCAGGACATAAATTGCAAGACCAATTTAATGAAAACCTGAGAGTCCTATAACAATTCAGGAAATTTAGTATGAGATAGATACTTTTGTTACATAACAGATTAGCTTTAAGTTAGTTATTGTAAGAAGCACTTAGGGACTACGCTTAGATCTTAGCCGAAAGGGCGAGTTCTGGAAGGGTCTTTTCCAATATATTAGTTTGCATTTAATTTTGTACGTCACAAAGATCCAGCCAAATTGTTCAGTAAGCAGAAACCAGAATTTTACCTCACAGTCAAATTTTAATGATTACCAGTCGCTGGCCCTTGGATTTCAATGAAGATTCCCTTTTCTAAGGAGAATGGAAGAAAAATAATTCAATAAATGAAACTTAGTATTTGAAAAAATCTGTTTATTACGAGCATTTATTTTAATCAAACGCTAATTGATTTCCAACCATCCAATATTTTATTTCATCAATAAATTATGTTTTACCAAAACGAGTAAAAAAATATGCAGGTGTATTATCTCATGTGTCAGCGGTAAAGTCGCTCAACACCGGTAGTTCGGTCCGAGGTTCGAATCCCACGAACGGGCTGGCTGCATGGGTGTTTTCGTGGTTTTCTCCATGTGTAACGTGCATACGAGCCAGTTTCCCTTAGAAAGTCCTCCACGAAGGCATCCCTCCCCTTAGGCAGATAGCCCTAGTGTGCTTTGCCATATTTAAATACACACACACACATCATGTGTCATTGAAATGGTGGTTTTATATGCAGCAAAATTTTGCAGTTATTTCAATTCCACTTGCTTCGTACGTACGTATCTGCGAAAATCTTACAAACTTAATGATTTAAAATACTACCATGGCTTTAGGTGTTTTTAGTATAACTATCTGTTATGCTGTATTTTCCTTCTATTTCTTTCTATTCGTTATGCGTAACTTTATTTATTTCATATGCGTAATAGAAAATCACAGTTTTAAATTCTTTTCTATCCATTTGCTTAAAACCCTTTTCACCACACTGACTAAATGTTTGAATTTTCTCTTCTAAATTAGCCATACTGTGGACGGGTTCATGTCATAGTCATATGTATTTTGTTATTTTTGGCAATGGAAGATATCCTAAATGCTAAATCTTGTACAGATATAGTTTTCTCTTAATTTAAAAAAATCGATTATTTTTAATGTAAATAATTCATCTTTTTGCCGTTGTAACTAGTAATTTAATAAAATTGTAACTAATTGTTAAAACTGCAATTAATTATGAAATGAAAAATAATAATAATTTTAATTAATTTTATCATTTTATCAAAACTTATGCTTTTCAATTCGAGGATTTCTTAAACGGCAGATAATTAACAAGTGATTATCCTAAATATTCGCCAATTTAAAGATAAACTTTCTTAAATAGATAAAAACACTTTTTACGATAACCCTTCTTACATTCCATCACTGAATGCAATTGCATTTCCAGTCACTTCGTTTTAAATTTCAGCAGGTTTGTAAGTTAATTTTATTTTCCTACATATGTTTTATCTTTTTAAAATAACTTTTTTTTAATTTTGAAGATTTTGTCATTTTAATCTTCTTTTGATTTTGAGTTACTTTTTTAATGTTAAAAAATTGTTACATTTAACTTTGAATTTGAATTTGAAAATGAGAGTGTCGGGGATACATCTTCTGAAGTAAGCATCCCGTTTAGTTATGTTCTTAGTGAACAACTTAAATTTAAACGAATATTTAACAATTTATTTTGTTTATGGAAATTCTTTTGGTTTAAATGGACTAATATTTTTATTTAATTTGAATACTATTGGTAACTTATGTTTGATCTTTTCAAAATAACTTTTTAATTTTAAAGATTTTGTCATTTTAATCTTCTTTTGATTTTGAGTTACTTTTTAATGTTAAAAAATTGTTACTTTTGTTTTTAACTTTGAATTTGAAAATGAGAGTTTCGAGGATACATCTTTTAAAGTAAGCATCCCATTTAATTATGTTCTAAGTGAACAACTTAAATTTAAACGAATATTTACCAATTTAGTTTGTTCATGGAAATTCTTTTGGCTTAATTGGAATTTATTTTGCTTTGTTTTGTTTGTTATTATCTTTATTTTGTTTGAATACTATTCGTGACTTAAGATTTGGTACTTACTTGAAATGATACTTACTTGAAAGACAGACGAAACACTCAATTTAGTTGTTGTTTACTGATGGTAGATTGGTTTATTCCTTTGGTAAATCGATTAACCCCTTGGCCTAGACGATATCTCTCAATTTCGCAAGTTATCGTAAACAGGAAAGTCCGTCGCGCCGTTTCCATTCAACTGTTCAGCCGTATACCCGAACTGGCGCAAAATGCATACTTTTCATGACATATATATTTCAATATAACGAAAGCAATTGTGAAATTATAAGCAATGTTTAGGTACAAATGGTAATTTTAAGACGTCTAGGGTGTAATCATATTCAATATATATCAATATATATCAGTTGACAAAAATAATTGCATGATGGGTGAGAATTGGAGGCTCCCTTCAGCCCACCTGGACACGAGTGTCCCTATTGCTCAAAAGAAGGGGCCCCGTATCTCCACAAACGAGGGCAGCCAGTAACCCAGCCACCCCCAAACAACAAACAAAATAAGTAATACTAAATCAAAAATAAGTAAGCACATCTAACACAAAATTACAGACCAACAAACAAACAAAAAAATCCATAAACACAAATTCACAACATAGAACACCACAGATATTCAAAACCCGTATAAATACAAAATTCAATTTTAACAGAAGTTTCCTACCAGCGCCCTATTTTCATTCATGAACTTCATTAGAGCAATAGAATATGATTTAAGAACTTTAAAATTAAGGACACTTACATTAAAATCATTATTTGTTAAAAATCTGTCTAATAGGGGCTGTTAAACTACAATTAACCACGAAATGCCTAGCATCCCCATCAACCTAACAACTATTACATAATTTATTTTCCTGCAGATTAAATCGGTTGAAATAGAACGGAAACCTACCATGTCCAGTTAAAACCTGATTAACATCAATTTTCATAATGGGTAGAGTTTGGCATGATGCGTCTAAGAGTTTTTTA